GACACACACACGCACACAGCTGCCCTTCACACTGCCTGCCTGCAGGGTGTGACAGGCAGGCACGCCAAAAGAGGATTTGTGGTGAAAAGCTTTGGGGAGGAGGGCGAGAGGGAGAGAGAGATAGGCGGAGTGGAGAAGAGGGGATTACATGGTGAATATTTCAATACTAAAACATACCAATTGGTTTGGGCTCCGTTTCTGGCTTGGACAGATACACACACTCAGAGTCACACACATACACACACATAAAGGCATTAACAGGGCCATATCTTCTACAGCTAGCTTAGCAATGACTAGACAGGGACTGGGGTGATGGGTAAAGCTAATATGAAACAGAGGACCCCCTGGGGATCTGACTCACAAAATGATTACTGGTAAACCTGCTCTGAGAGAACGAGTTGACCAAAACCAACCAAGGGCTTCCTACCAATTTAAGACAACGTCATCTGTCATGCAAGAGGAGATTTTTGTTTCTTTCAAGCTGATAAAGTCAAAGCAGAGACTGTGTAGCGATATGACCATCATATAGAGGACTTAAAAGGGACAGTGCTACTAGGTTCAATCTCGGTTATTAAATTTTGAGCTCCTCCTGGGAATGTAGACAATACATGGACAAGACATTACAGAAGGGATTCCAATGCAATAACGCTGGCTAGTTTAATATTTAAGATCTATTTGTAGCAGGATTTCTAGAAAAATCCATCTGCAGTAGGTCATAAATGTACTGTTTCATCAACATTTTCTATTGTTGCTTTGAATTACTTAATTAGTTTGACAAATAAATTAAAAAAACCCGGTCAAGTTCTGACAGTCCCTAAACCCTGATGACATTCTCCAAAAAAAGAAGAAATTAAGCCAACTCTTATTGAATCTAATCTAAACTCTCAAAGTTAATTGTGGTCTTTTTGAAGAAAAGAAACAGTAACTTTTGGTATAGACTCTATGCAAAAAGAATTGTTTTTTAAAAAGTGTAAACAAACTACCAGATTTTCACATATGCATCGCCTTATTCTGGCCTAAATCTCTAGATCAATGAGTATCAGTTCGCTGAAAACTGGTTCTCTCTGCCATGGGACTGGATGGCAGGGAGGTGGCATGAACCACGGCTGGAGGTTGACAGATACAGTTCCAGATACGGTAAAGCTGCAGGAATGCTAAAGGACAGAGAAAACGGCTGCTGGCTGGCATGATGGCTGCCACATGCTGTCAGGTCAGCAGGGAATGAGGCTACAGAGGCGAGTGAGATACAATTGGTGGACTGGGGGGGTTGGGACGCTAGACAAAAAGGATTAGCTTTAAAAACAATCAAAGTAGAGGAAAAGATCATTCTGTGTATTTACATGTCCGTGCATCTGTTTATGAATTCAAGTTTTTTCCATGTGTGCATGTGTGTGTCTTTTTCTGGAGGTTCAAACCACTGCAAGAGTCCAGCAGGCAGTTATATTGTCCCAGTTACAGAGACGCACTGGAAGCACTGGGCACATAATGAATACAATGGTTAAGCTGCATGCCTGTGTGTATGAATGTGTGTGTGTTCATACTGCAGTCTAGACCAGGGGATCAAGTGTAATCTCCCTTCACTGATACAGCTGATGAGCTGAGGTCACAGAACACCGTCACTGTGTTAACATCATTTCGGTGTGTCAGCCGCACAACAATGTACTGTTATTAATTAATTCATAAATTACTCTAAGAGATGATTATAGTATATGACCCTTTTGGCTGCAATTATGCTTTTAAAACTTGACTGAGAAGTATTAACATTAAAACTTTCCAAAGTTTCCCCTGATTCTCCTGAATCCAGTGCATTGGGTAAGCTACATTCAGTGGTTGAAGACAGTTATTGTGACCGTGTGCAACAATTTTGCGATCTTGTTGCATTTAAAATGTTTGCTTCGAAGACGGGGAGCAGGTCTGTAACCACTCACAGTCAGTTAACATCCTCAAAGTGACTTTGTTGTGTCAAGAAGGCGATGGCTTCAGTTTGCAAATGAATGGGGTCAAGCTGGCGATTGCGTGCAGTCTTTTTGTGATACTACAGCGATTAAGTGTGATAAATTTGTGAAAATCTAAACTCGCCATCTACAAACACAGTTATTAACATTAAACAGAAATTAACTACTTATATTCAGAGTCCAGCCTCATAGATTTGAAACGGAAATTCAGAAATTCCTCAACAAAGAGCAACGTACTTGCTGCAGGATGGCGATTAAACTGCACAATAACACAGGCACTCAGCAACCATGCTTTTTACATAGAAATATAACTAGAAGGCAGTCCTCTATTGCAAAGAAGTTCCACTCTTTGGCACAGACTGACTAACACTGATTGCAGTGAGTTTGCATTTTGCAAATCTTCACCAATCTGTCTGACGGTGATTGCCAGTCCGAGTCTGATCACAACCTGCATGGCGTCAGGTTGTGACCTGTGTGGTCACCTTACTATTGAAAGTGGTCACCAACAGGTTATGGTTTTGCACGATCAATTTCCAGCCTACAAGTTGGCTACTGCAACTCCTTTAAATCAGTCCCTGGCAGTGTATTCGCCGGGTAACCACCAATGTTTCCTAGTCGTAATGAGATTGCTGTCCTAGTTTTACTGAAGTGTAACTGACAAAATATGAAGACTGATTGTGTAGCTGACTTACACTTACTTCGACAAGTGTAAATGTGTTCTGACATCATTCTTCATCTCATCTATGAGCTTTTTGGTTCATTACTGTATATCTGGGTTGTCTCTGGGTTTAAAAGAAAGTACAATACTCTCAGTTTTTGCCATTTTTTTTTCTTTCTTTCTGTTATTTCTTGCTATTAATGAGCACTGGTGAAGCCAAAACCAGTCTGTTTTTATTACCGGTAGCGCAAATATACACCGTAAATAATTACTTTACAAGCATGTTGAAAATACTGAATAACATACTTATTTGTCATTATGGAAAAAAAGCACAACTGTTGCTAGATTTTAACCATGAATTTTACATAAAAATATATCTGTGTCTTTTCTTGACATGGATTCTATAACAAATCATTTTGCTGAGAAGTAAATAAAAAGTACAGAATAAGTGTTTTAGTATTGCTTGTTACACTGTAATTACCTTGTAAAATTACATATTCAAACCACCAGTTAATTCTCACTCAAAGTACCGTAAATGACATAACAGCAGTGAATGTTATATTCTTCAAGCAGAGCGCTTCAGCTTTTAGGGACATAAAGCACCAAGAGAAGAGATATCACAGCATTAGTGGGTCCTCTAATGGCTTCACACACCAGTGAAACAATCACTTTGGTTTTTATTTATTCATTTATTTATTTATTTCATAATGGAAGATCACCAGTTGCAAGTATCTAACACAAAAGGTGTAACAAGTGCAAATAATCTAACAAATGAACCCCTGGAGGGAAAGAAAAAGAAGCAGTGTGGTGTTGAAGCGCACAGGTAATGATTGAAGCCTTGAGCTCTCTGTCGCACACAGTTTGGGTTACGTGACACGCAGTATTGTGCTTGACAGTCTATGTTTAATTGGAATGGATCGGGGAATCAATATCAGTCTATAGGCAAAAATCACAGTGCTTGTAAACAAAGTTGAGTTGCTGTGAATGTTTCTTTTTTTTTTTCTTACATTAGAAAGCGCTCACTTAACGCTAACTGTTCAACGACTGCTAATTAATTTACCCCCCACTCGCACACACTTAGCCCCACCAAAACCACCACTACACAGGAACCTCATGACAGATTTAATTAAAATAACTTCATTACTCTGAGCTCTGAATCACTTCACTCTAAACAAAAGCAGATGCCTCAAAGAAAAAACTAGAAGGAAAAGAGCCAACAATCTCTGCGTGTGTGTCTTTCTCTAAGACGGACATATGTATTAAATGCAAAAAGACAACCAAAGTAATCCAGGATGAAGACTCTCTCAGCTAGATGTGACACTGACAAAATGTCCTGCTGCCAGAGACAAGGTGGGACAAGTCAACGCTTAACGTGGGGATTAGCCTGCTTAAACACAGCGAGTTGTAAACACAACTCTGCATCTTTCCTGTTCATTGTAAAGGCATAATTATATCAGCACAGTTGGCTGCAAACACATGTAGCAGGGAGAAGAGAAGAGAAGAGAAGAGAAGAGAAGAGAAGAGAAGAGAAGAGAAGAGAAGAACCACTTCAGTCCAGCTCAGTATTACAACTTCAGGCAATAACATACTTTGTTGTACCCCAAAGTCTGTCATTTCCCATTATCTCATCCATTGCTGTTATTTTCTTCTTTTATTACTCCTGTCATGTGAAAGCCTTGTTATTCCCACTCTGAACATCCTTGCCCCAGTAGATCCCAAAAAAGCATCACTACCCACTCCTCCCGAACTGAGCTGTTAGTTTGTTTTCCTTTAAAAAGTTGAAATTTTGAAACGACAAGCCTTTCGCCAATGATCATTGAATATCAAGCATCACTAATGGAATTACAGACACAAACACAAATATACCGCTGGTGTCATTTTGTCCAGGAATAAGGTCAGATATTGGGTTTCCAGCAGCAAGACTAAATTAGACCAAAGTACAACTGATACCGTAGAATACTGTACCGCACACACTTTCCCTCTCTGCCTCCCATACACAACCATGCAAAGTGCAAATGCATATTCCCATGGTTTCTTTCTCAAAGCCACGCACACAAACCCTTGTCCCCCCTCACCAGCTCCCTCTAACTCACTCCGCACATTGTTTTCACACAGTCTATATGACACCCAAGTACTGTACAAAGTCTATGATATCATCAGACTGCCAACTACCAGGCAGGCTGACATTACCAGCTGCCGGGACAGAAGAGGAGCCAGCAGTCAGCACACCTCCCACAAATATACAGAAGCGTGAACCTTCACAAACACACACATGCATACACACATGCATACACAAATGCACCAAATACAAGGAAACTTGGACCATATACTGCACATATGCAGAGTATTAAACAGTAAAAGCACAACACACACAAATGCTCACTCACCTGCACCTGCATGAAGGATCCCCGATAGAAGCAGCATGCTGCAGCCGAGAGGGCACTCCACAGACTACACCTCTCCGTCATGGTGGGCACACACCTCTGCTACCTTCTCTCAAACCTCACTCTTTTTTCTTCTTCTTCTTCTTCTTTTTCTACTACTTCACCTCTCCCTTTTCTGTCTCACGCTCTCTTCCCCACCCGGGGTGTCCTATCTAAACACCAGCCCTTGGGTTAAGCCTGTCCCACCCCTGCCTGCCTCTCTGTCTGGCTAACAGCCACTCAACATAGTGCCACCACTACAAAAAAAAGAAAAGAAAGAAAAACAGGCTACAAGCTAAAACCGCTAACACCAAAGCTGCAGCTTGCATGCAGCTGCCTGTGACAACATCAGCTATTACCTACGAGCGAGCTGCTAACAGCTGGTACTGATAACGGCCAGTGATATTACAGCTCCTGACATCTTCGCTGCTTCTGCCTTGCACCGGCTTCTCTCGCTTCTGCTCTCGCTTCTCTCCCTCTCACTGCACTTGCTGCACTTCACGCGGCTGCTAGGGATTACCTCATTGCTTGCTGATGAAAGGAGTGTGGGTGGGGGGAGGGTGGACCAGTGGGAGAGAGGGTGGGAGGGTTGGATGGAAGGAGGGAGGGAGAGAAGAGGGGAGGGGGTTGAACGCTAGGAGGCACAAGCAGAGAGGAGTGCTGTCGTATTGAAGGCAGAAACCCCACCCACCCTCCTGATGACCCCCGCTCCAGGGCTGAGACAATGCTGACGGGGGGGGGGTGGGAGAGTGGTGGGGGGTGGAGGAGATGACGGAGGGAGTGAAACAGAGAGAAAGTAAGGAAAAGATGGGGAGGAGAGAAAGAAAAGATAATTAAGAGATGAGATGATGAATGAAGAAGATGAGGGTGCAAGGAGGGTGAGAAGAGTACGTGTGCAGCCTCCCAAAGGAATCTAACCTTTCTTTTGCCATGAAAGACACCCGACAAGACCGCACCCCCTCCACAAATGCTTGAATGCACACTCACACCTTTTATTCCACCTACATTTTCACATGCCACTATATGTTACTATAGCAGCCTCCAAAACGCATTGGCTTCCCGTGGTGAAATAACGTTGGCAGAAATCTTCCCGTGCATGTGTGTGTGTGTGTGTGTTGCAGGATATAATGATGTGTCTCTACAAAGCCATGCAGACTGCAGCTAGACAGCTCATTACGGGCTGAAACACACAGGCAGGTGTTTCAAGGATAACATGGTGTGATTTTCACCGGCCCATTTCACATGGAGACACACATAAACACACGCGCACATACCGGCAGGGAGATGTCAGGAGGGGTGGGGCTCTGTCTCCAGAGGCCCGAGTGAGTGACATCATTGAGGACGCCTCGCCATGGAAACACTGCCAGAGCCTTGACAGCATCCAAAATTCTGACACTGCATTTAGTCAGGTCCGCACCAATGCAGGAAAGCGAGAGGCGGATACAGGAGAGAGAAAGCGGCTGAGAAGGAGAGCGACATGCTCCTTCTTTTCACGTTGTCATCTGAGGTCATCTTTCGCCCCACTAACACAAACATACACACAGAATCGGATGATACCAGTAATCACCTTTCTAATCTGCCTCCTGAATGCATGTTAGTAGGTCACAGCCAGAGACAAAGAGCCTGAACGATAAGGAGCTACAAGACACAGGACGGATTCATTAACTGCAACGTCTCCTCTTAACGTAATCTCAAACCATACAGTGCTGGATTAGACAGATTACACAGCGGGGACACAAATAATCTCATAAGAGGGGGGCCTTGTGCCTTTCTATTCTCAATCCTCTGTAATACCATGGCAAAACAATCATAACATACATCATGTTACATCTGCCACACATGTGGGAGAAAAAAAAATCTACAATTTGATGCATGGAGATAGTTTATCATTAAATGTGTCAGAATTAGGGTGTATTAGACTAGCCTGAAGCCACTCCACAAACTGATATTTATATTTAAATATGTATCTTTGGTAGTCTGCTTGCTGCTATAATTGTAGCCTGTTTGGCTACCTTTCAATAAGTATTTGGTTCACACAGCTGGTAAAGGAAGACAGCCTGTTATTGTTCTAAAGCAAATTCTGTAAAATTCAAACTTCATCCTTGGATGAATTAATTTTTGTCAAACAAATATCATCTGCTGCAGTGTGGAGCTGCGGCATTTTTTTTCTTCCTTGCTTCATCCTTACTTTGTTCCTGCTACTGCTTCCCCTTAAATCCATCTATCTTTCTTTATATCTCTGCATTGACGAGAAGTGTTTCTGTCAGAAAACGTCTGTCTCATTCCTACATTTTCTTCAAATTCTTGTCAGTTTCTTCTCTGTTGCTCTCACTGTCATCCATTCATTGAACCTTTCTCTTTTCAGTGCTTCTGCATCAGTCATCTCCTTCTCTCTAGGCTCTGTCAAATCCAGCATTTCTCCAACTGCTCTTGTCACCGTACTCCTCCCCTCATCTCTCCTGCCTTCTTATCCTTGTGATCAATAGCCTAACCTCAGACTTCCAGGCTTTTCTTCCTTCTGATCCTTCCCGGCCTATTCTCTCTCCTGTCCTTCCCCTCTCCTCCACACCATGATCCTTCCACTTTCCCCTCCTTTCAGTCCTCTATCTCTGCATCTCCTCTCTTGGTTGGAGGCGGTCTTCAGTTAAATATTAATTAGTGAGCCCCATCCCGCAGGCTGATAGGGAACACAATGGAGAATCCCTGCATGTGCCTGCAAGCATCACACTAATGAAAGTGTGTGTGAATGTGGAGAGACACACAAGGATATGAAGTGTGTGCATGTGTATGTACTTGCTCAACTATGCTTATGAGGACTGGTGTGATTTTGTTTAAGTAAGGACATTTTTGGCCTCACTTTCATTGAATGTCCTCACAAAGATAGCGATACAAGCACGTGAGTGTGTTTGCTTGTAAGGGAATAGAGGAAAATATTTTTATGAAAACGTGTGTGAAATAAAAAGATCTACTGAGGGTAGATCAAGAATATTAGCGAAAGCACATCTTTATGTGCGTGTGTGTGTGTGTGTGTGTGTGTGTGTGTGTGTGTGTGTGTGTGTGTGTGTGTGTGTGTGTGTGTGTTTGTGCCTGGCTCCTGGGGGTTAGCCAGGTACAGCTAATGAACTGCAGGTCTGATTGTCATCAGTGTGTTTTCACAGGACAGAACTGGTTAATCCGTATCGAACCACAGATATGCGTTTCAAAGCCTGCAATAATGATACAAAGAGAGAAAGAGGTCTGTTGGGAATGCTGTGCCTCCATCCACACAAAGGCCTTGAAAAATATTCATTTAAGTGTTAAACAGTGCAATTAAAACTCCACTCGCTTTAATCACATTAAAATGACTACACTTTACACAAATTGGTTGCTGTAGCAACTAGACACATCTTAGTCAAAAATTAAACACTGTGTAATACCATCAAGACAAGTATCTCTGCTTCATGGTGACCTTAAAAAAAGAGTGGATAAAGTTGTGGGAATACTTGAGAATGCACTGGTCATGTAGTAATTTTTTTTTTCTCTCAGAGGCTGCAGTTTCTGAGGTAGTAAAAAATGATGTTGTTTACACCAGTGTAGTAAAAGTATAACCAGATGGAAATATAATTACTGTCGTGGTCTGGCCTCCCCAGACTCTAGACTTCAACAATTTTTGAAGCAGTGAGGGATCATCTTCACAGACAACAGAGGCAGCAAAAATCCAAAGAAGCAAACTGAATGTCCTTAAAGGAGACTGGATAACTATTCCTGACGACTACTTAAAGAAATTATAACAATGCTTGCCTAAGAAAGTTCAGGTGCTGTTGAAGAATAAAGGTGGTCATACCAAATACTGACTTTCAAGCTTGTTAGAATTGTACAAACTCTGTTTTTCACTTTATCTGCTGTATTTCCATGCATGTTTGCATGTGTCTCAATAAATTGCTGCATGTGCAAATTTTCCCTCCAAAACATTAAAAAAAGAGGATTGCCTAAAAGCTTTTGTTCATAACTGTACTACTTCACTACTTTGGTTTATATCCAAATGGCAGCAAAAACACTTTCCATAAATGTCCCCTGTGCACTGTTTAGTGCTAATTAGCAGCAAATGTTAGCATGCTAAACAAAGACACTATATGTATATTATCTATCAACATCATCGATGTGAGGATGTTAGCGTAGCATTTAATATTCAGAAATGTTACAGTTTTATTAAAAATAAAAATAAAATATTGAATTGTTTATTTACTTTAATGAAATGTATTTCCCAAATTATATCATGACTACCTCTACATTGCCTTTATAGAAGCCATAATAACTGTTCATATCACAACATACTGAAATATGCTTCAGCCAATACCTTTTGATTAGCCTTGTCTCATGCTTTCTTTCTTTATGGTAGATTTTTGTTCTGTTTTCACTGTTTGTTTGTTTGTTTTTTTTCACTGTTTTCACTGAGATTTGAATTTGAATGCTAATCAATAAAATCAAAATCAAAAAAAAAAATACAACTATACTCTGATAGCAATATGATAGGCCAATCTTGTGTTATAATATATGCCTACCCATATATCAATCTTGCTTCTGTTTGTAACTGTAAGGGCATTTACAAGAATACACTAAATGCTATTTTAGTTTCTAATGCATTTATTTCTATACAGATATGAAATCCAAAATCTGCTGGAAAGGGACAATGGTGGTGGAAGCACTGAGATTTCAATTTGTAGTCTGCTTGGTCATAGAACTTGGACTACAATCTTTTGCAGGTTAGGGTTATGTGTAATTAAACAATCCATGTCCTGAAATGCAATCTTGAAACCACTGGCTATGGCAAGAGAGCAGCCATAAATAGCTTCTTCGACCTCATAAGAAATTAAAAAAAAATGG